ACAGCTATATAGGGGGGTATTTATGTATTTTGGTTTTGGGGGGAGAAAGAATGATGCAAATGCCCCCAACAATATATAACAGTTAGTTTGGGAGGGCATTTTGGGAAAAGTGATAAATAACCTTACAATGACCAAAATACCTCTCCCAATAACTAAAAAATGGATAGCTTTTAGGGTATTTTGGGTAATTGAATTATTTTCAATTCTTATAAGTAGCCCTATTCTCCACCATTCTCATCACACCAATTCAACAATTCTCTTAATCTCTTCTCTAGTTCTTATACTTTCTCAAGTCTTAACCTCTCATGCATTTTCTGATTCTCTTATTCTCAACTTTATTGATGTTTCAACAAGAATAAGGCCTGCTCAACAGCTTAAGTATCTCAACTCTCAAGTTAGCAATTTGGGAGGCTTGGACTCTTGAAGTTGAAAGGCTTTAACCGTTAAAACCAAGTTGGGATTCTGAACTGGCAATCCTGGTAAGTGCAATTAAATTAAAATTTATTTGTTTAGAATAAAAAAATGGTTAGCTCCTCCCAAAACCAATTCCCCAACATGTTCAATGTCGACGGTGTTCAGTCGCAACATGGTAGTATTTGCCCCGATATGGGTGCTATTGATATTGATAGAACTTCCACCCCTAGTACTGATACTAGGGGAAAGAAAAAGAAGGCCAGTAAATTGATTAGCCTGGTTTGGAAAATATTTAAAATGCATGAGGTTCAGGGGAAGGAAAAAAGAGTTGTTTGCCAAAAATATAGGAAAGACTTTAACTATTGTAGCAAGGGTGGTATTGGCCATTTGGGCAGACATTTGGTTATCCATGAAGAAGAAGAAGAAGAAGAAGAAGAAGAAACAACACAAACACAAATTGGGCGGGGGATGTTGGTACTTTTAAATATTCTCAAGAAAAAATGAGGCAAGAATTAGCAAAATACATTGTACATGCTAAAAAACCATTTTTGGTTAGCTGAAGATACTAAATTTGAAAAATGGTTACGTAATTTTGTAAATCTACAATTTAAAAAAGTTTCTAGAAATATTATTAGATCAGATGCTTTAAAATTTTTTATTCATATAACCAAAATTTAATTTATATGTTATCAAATCTTAATTCTAAAGTTGCAATTACTTCTAATATTTGAAATTCTAAATTTAACATAAGTTATATTTGTGTTATTAATCATTTTATTGATGAAAATTGACTTTTAAATAAAAGAATTTTAAGTTTTACTAGGCTTGAATGGCCACATACTAGCCCAGCTATTGCTACAAGTAGTTTAAATACTTTACATGCTTATGGAATTGGCAATTAATTATTTTCCTATTAGTTTTGATAATGATAGTGATAATGATTTAACAATAAATATTTTAAAATCTCAATTAAAACCATGTTTAAAGGGTAAATTATTTCATATCAGATGTGCATGTCACATCTTAAATTTATGTATTCAAGATGCTTTAAATATTATTTCTACTCATATTTCTAATATTAGAAATTGTATTATATATTAATAGTTTTTAATAACTAAGAGGTAAATATCCACTGCCTAGACAAGTTCATTTACTGAACTTAATTTTTATTTAGAAGCAAATTTTTCTACTTTAGGTGATTCTTCTTTCACCTCAGAGGGAACAAATAATTTTGATATTTTAGATTAGTGGAGTGAACATGCAAAAAATTATCTAGTTCTCGCCGCCATGGCACGTGATCTACTAACCCCTTTGATGTCTGCAGTTCCATCAGAGTTTTGTTTTAATGTAGGTAATAGGGTGTTGGGTGACAAGAGTTGTATGAGTGATGAAAGTCTAAAAATGTGCATCCGCTTTAAAGATTGACTGGATGTTTAAGATAGATTACAAGACAAAGAAGGGCATGACATTACATCTGATGTTTCACGTGATGTAGATGATCAAAGTCAAAAACAATAGGAGAAAATGATGAAAATATTTTTTGTATACTTAGTAGTTGTATAACATTTTTTCAAATTATTGTAAATTTTGTTTTAATTTTATTTAATTAATTTGATATTTTTTAATAATGCAATTTTTATTTTCAATTTGTAACTATATTGTATTTTTTATATTTTATTAATTTATTCCATTTTCTAATTTTCATATTTCATTCATCCAACCATTGTATGCTTTGTATCATTCAAATTTAAATGAAATAAAATTACTATTTTTCTTCCAATTTGTTATTCACTTCGAGTCTTTGTTTCTTTGACTTCTTATTTGGTTAAGTATTTTTTTCATTTATTTGTTAGATTTCTTATTTTCTAAATAGTTCCCAAAGGAAAGTTAAATATTTTAGTTTTACCTAGTAAAGAAATAAAAAAAATTCAAAAAAAAAAAAGTCTGGCCTGGCCAATTTGGCCCACGGCCCGACCTGCAGCCCCCTCGGCCAAGGCCTGCAACATGACACAGGTTTGCACGGGCTTGGGCCGTGCCAGAATGACTCCCCAAATTATCCCTAGGGAGGGCGAAACGGCCCACGGACTGGCACAACCCGTTTTACACCTCTAGTTGGATCTCTATATAGATGAGATTTTTTCAGAGATTTTCCCCCAAAGTTGTTGTTGCTTTTGATGCTATTTGGTTGGTATTTCATTTGCAATTTCTCGTAACTTTGCAATTTCCTTTTATAATCTTCCTAGAAATGTTTTTTATTCTCTTTCTAATTTGCTATTACTTTCCCCCTTTTTCCTTTTAGTTTTTTCCTTATTGTTTAAAATTAGGACAAGCTATTGAATTCTAAAGGAACCTGTTTTTTTTTTTTTTACGGCCAAAAGAACCTATTTTAATATAATAGAAACTCATCTCCTAACATAAGCCTTTCTCTTTCTACCTATTAATGTTGTTTTTGTGGGGATCTATTTTCCTTTATCACCCTGTATGTAATTGGAGGTTAATGTAAGTTTTGATCTTTCAAAATGCGATCAATGCACCTGTTTCGTCATTGTGGTCTGATCTAGTTTGCTACAAGGTTTACACGGATCCATGCGTCGGTGTGGTGTTTCTAGTTTTTGTGATAATATGTTCATTTAATGATATTTTTTCTAATATTTTTAATTTAATTTATTTAAGGGGTAATTTGAGTTCAATTTGTACGGTTTAGGTCAGTGTCGGGGGGAGATTCCCAATTCACGGGGCTGGTGTTTATAGTGGGGATGGGAATAAATACATTTGGGAAACCAATAAAACAAATCTGAGGGGGGATTTAACTCTAAAAAGGTATTTATTTAAATGCTTCATTTATTAATTTAAATATAATAGGTTTGATTTGATTTCATTTGTTAATTCTATCATTTTCTCTCTCTTCCCTACATCGCACGGGCTTCTCACTAATATTTAAGTAATTTAGTAAAATCAAATGATTTATTTAATTAATTAACTCTAATTAAAAAGACAAATAAAAAACTCATTGAGGTAATGTGTATTGTTGAAGAAGCTTCAAAACCTTTTGTTTCGAAACACGTTACGAGTGTTAAGTTAGGACTTTGGACTTTGAACCCAACATTTCATTCAGTTTTAGCAACAAAACCGAATGTCAAGATGAAAGCTAATATCATGCCAATGGCAAACTAGCTGCAGCATCGAATAGGGTTTAGACTCCGAGCGCAACATCACCTGCAATTAATCTAATCGGTAGGGGTGTTCCTAAAAAATCGAAAAGCCGAACCAAATGAAAAAAACTGAACTGAAAATGTGGTTAATCAATCAATTAATTCATTATTTTTGAAAAACCGAAGGATCAATTTGATTTTCGATTAACCTAAAAACCCAACGGTTAGTTGAACCGATCAGTATATATATTTATACATATTACATATATTTTTAATATGTGTCAAATATTATCTGTATATATTATATAAATATATATATATATATATATATATATTAGATCTTATATTTATAATATATTTTATATCATTTATTATTTATAATAAAAAGTGCAGATTAATACCTATGCTTTGGAGTTTGGACCCAGTCTCACTTTCGTCCCTAAACTTCAAAATGTGACAACCTAATACTTAAACTTTCAAAACGTGTCAATTTAGTACATGTCATTAATATTCTGTCAATTATCTATATTATGTGATGACATGTACAATTTAAAACTTTTAAAATATCAAAACTATTCTTAATAAAATACTGTTCATTGTCTTTTACCTTGAGACTAAATAGAATGGACAATGTACAGTGGTATAAGCCTCTTGGGACTTGTCAAGAAAGCCACAATGGACAGATGATTGGAGGAGCCCAGTGATGAGATAACTAGGCACTTGGCATGTTTCAGCATCTACAACTTGCCTTTCTCTATCAGCTTATAAGAGATTTGGGCATTTGGATGGTTAATAAAGAAAATTAAATGACACCCATAGGGCATTAATGTCTTTTCACATGCCACTTAACGGCTGATTAATGGTAGGTATTAAGTTGTCACGTTTTGGAAGTTTAGATACTAGATTAACATGTTTTGAAGTTTAGGAATCAAAATGAAACTAGGCCCAAAGTACTAATATGCAATTTTCCTTATAGAGAGAGAGAGAGAGAGATAACTGAATCGATCCATAAAAAACTAAAACCAATGAACCGGTTAACTAGTAGAATTTGACTTGAAAAATTACAAAACCGATAATACCGGTTATACTCATGGTTTGATTAACCGAACCGTGGGCACCCCTACCAACCATATGCAGTTGTATGAGGTGTTCCATTAACTGCAATTTATTGTGTTCTTCTCTATGAAAGTGTCCCATTTCACTTGTATTCATGTGATACCAAACATGTAATGAAATACATGTCACAGAGTGAACGGAGCAGGGCAAACAAGTGAAAGATATCACTGACTCTGAACATGCCCTTATTTTACTTCCGTCCTTGGGCCGCAAGCAAAACCCCACTATAAAAAAAATATAAGAAAACACTTAAATGCGGTTTCTGCCTTGCCATGCAAGATAGCCAGCAAAGTCAATTATGATCCAAACACATTTAATTTGTTATTCAGATATACTTGTAAGAGGTACTGTGAGCATACAATGGTGCTTTAATGAATCTATTTTATTACATCTTGTAGTGACAAGTTGACATCCAATTGTTTAATTAGGCAAGACAATCTCCATCGATAATACACGAGAGCAATATAAAACACTTTGGGTAATGGACTGTAACTCTATGACATGAATATCTGAAGACGCTGAGAGAGAGTTATCGATCAGTCAGTCATGTTCATGGAACACACATGGTACTCCGTCTCTCTCTTCTTGTTCTTTCTCCTCGTCTCCGGCAAACTTTTCTTCCGGAGAAAAACCCGACTCAAGAACCTTCCTCCAAGTCCCACCGCCCTTCCCATTATCGGTCACCTCTATCTCATAAAAGAACCATTCTACAGAACTGTACGCAGCCTTTTCGATCGGTATGGTCCCATCCTATTCCTATATTTCGGGTCCCGCCCTGCGTTAATCGTTTCCTCTGCTTCCGCGGTTGAAGAATGCTTCACCAAGAACGATGTCATCTTTGCAAATCGTCCTTATTTCCTTATCGGCAAGCACCTCCACTATGAGCATACTACAGTCGCAACGGCCTCGTATGGCCCTCACTGGCGCAACCTCCGTCGCCTCACCACACTGGAGATCTTTTCTACCACGCGCCTCAACATGTTTTCCGGCATTCGACACCAAGAAGTTAGACTACTCTTGTCCAAGCTATTTCAGAGTTCGCGGCAAGGTTTTGTACAGGTGGAGTTGAAATCCAAGTTTGCGGAATTGACGTTTAACATCATGATGCGGACGATAGCCGGGAAGCGGTATTACGGGGATGACATCGAGGAGAAAGACCTTGAGGATGCACGGCGCTTCCGGGATATCATAAGAGAATTTTTCGAAGTGGGTGGCGCTACCAATTTGGGAGAATTTTTGCCAATTGTAGGGTGGATGGACTGTAAAGGCGTGGAGCGAAGGATGAAGGCATTAAAGAAGAAAATAGATGCGTTCTTGGACGGGTTGATCGATGAGCATCGACGTAAACAGGAATTCGAAGGAGAGGAGAAAAAAAATCTTATGTACATTTTGCTGTCACTGCAACAAGATGATCCGCAATACTACACCAACGAAATCATCAAGGGAATTATAATGGTGAGTCTTGGCTTCCCTCATCTGTACTCTGCTATGGATCATTTTTGTGCCTACCACCAACACCATGGCTTGTGATAAGATCAAATGCCAATGGGCCCCATGTCATAAAACAAATATCGGTAGCAATCAAGGTCAAAATATAGGGGGTATTTTGGTCTTGTTAAAGCCCAAGTGGCCTTTATAGTTTCATTTCTTAATTAACATATTGACATTAATTGACCTTTCATCAAATATCTTGTGTTCTATTTATGTTATGTTTAGATGATGTTGATTGCGGGAACGGAGACCTCAGCCACGACGATAGAATGGGCTATGGCACTTCTGTTCAACCATCCGGAGGTGTTGAAGAAGGCAAGAGCCGAGCTGGATGCTTATGTGGGACAGGATCGGTTGATGGACGAACAAGATATCCCCAAGCTGCATTATCTCCAAGGTGTCGTTAACGAAACGCTTCGACTATATCCTCCAGCCCCACTTCTGGCCCCACACGAGTCGTCGGAAGATTGTAGTGTTGGAGGTTATGATGTACCCCGTGGTACAATGTTGTTTGTGAACGCATGGGCGATACATAGGGACCCTAAATTGTGGGACGACCCTACAAGTTTCAAGCCAGAGAGGCATCACCAAGGTGATGAGGGGGTAGTAGTAGAACCATTCAAGCTGATACCGTTTGGGTTGGGCAGGAGGGGGTGCCCTGGGGCTGGCCTGGCTAATCGTGTGGTGGGATTGACTTTGGGAACATTGATCCAGTGCTTTGAGTGGGAGAGAGTTAGTGAACACATGGTGGACATGACTGAAGGGAAGGGGCTCAGCATGCCCAAAGCCACACCATTGGAGGCCCTTTGCCAACCGCGACAAACCATGACTAAGGTACTGTCTCAACTATCGAACACCATCTGATCAATTTTCTAGTCCAGTGACAAATCAAGTAAATGTCCTTTCTCTCCTTGGACTTTCCTCCGGACTCCGGAGTTGTAGTATTATTTTTGCCCTCCTCTGCTTAAGTTTTAATTTCTGTCGATTAATGTTTATAACCTTCTTTTTTTCCCTCCTCTTCCTTTTGTTCTTTGGACGACTTGGGCTTGATCCTGGCCTTCTACCCACTTCCAAGGAGGCTGGCTTGGCCTAGTTCTTCATGCTTTGTCCAATCCAACTCCTCTTCTAGTGGCATTACCTTTTACCTACTACAGCTACTAGATAAAGTAGGGTTCGTTTGGGTTGGTTTCCTTGTTTGGCGCAAACTGCGTTAATTGAGCCACTTTGGTTGAGCTAATTAACATTTTCTTGATGAGCTAGTCATGTGGTTTCATGTCACAGTCACGATTCTGACCTTCAAAACACTGTTGATTTTCTGGATTTTCACCAAAGACAGCTCCAGATTTTTTTTTTCTTTTCTTTCTGAACCAGTTGCTTATTAGGGTCTCAGAAAAAGAAAAACACAAATCTCTACATCAGCAACATCTCATCGATTAACACTCGTTGCTTGTCCTCTCAATTCTGTTAGAATTGAATTATTGTGTTCCAATTGATCTACTTTCTTAATGCAGACCAGTTCAATGCTTTGCATTAGCAGATGGCTAAGTTGTTGTTTTCAGTTTTCTTGCATAAAAGACTTATAAAAAGTGATCTATCATTATGTTTTTTCATGATCAAGTATTTAAATTGATGTTAGCTTGCTGTTGTACAATCTATGCATTCTTATCAAAGCCAATAAGCCCCTGTGATATTCAGACAATTGCAGAGTTGGCAAAAATAGAGCACAGTTTAGTGAGAGAGGAGATGGAAAGAAACTAAGTTTATCCACAAACTATTTCTCTCCCAAAAATAAAAACTTGTAGATATTCAGCTATCACAATTCCAAACAAGATATCAACAAAAACAATCAGAAACCAAGCAAAGAGAGACACACGATATTTAACGTGGAAAACCCCTCCAATGTGAAGGGTAAAAACCACGGGGCCAAGGAAACCCAACCAAAAATCTCCACTAATAACTTGAGGTTACAATTACAGCAACTCAAACACCACAATATGCTCACAAACTTAGAGCAAATACAGATTCTCAAACATACAAACGAGAATACCAAAAGCGGTGAAAATAACAGTCAGAAAAACTCACAAACGTGGCTACTGTTCAGGCCACAACATGGAGATCTCCACCGTTCCGATCGTAGGTCTGTGAGTTTCCAACAATCCCACCAAATTTCAGCCAAATCGAACCACAAATGACCCTTGATCAGAATAATTGATGAAGACTGCCACGAAATGTTTTCTTTTCCCGAACAACTACGAGTTGCTTCTGTTCGACCTCAAATAACCGGCGATTCAGAGCTTCGATCAAAGATCCAACCGTTCAGAATGAAGAAAAATGAGTTATCCACTTACTGTCCAAATTTCTGCTCGATCGGACGGTGGATCGAAAAGTTCCGGCCGTTTGATGAACTCTATACATTGAAAAATCTGCACAGTATTTCGATTTCTCTCTTTTCCTCTCTCTCTTCAACACGCCGCGCGCAAAACAGATCTAACCCTAGTTTTTGTTTTTCTTTTTTTTTGAAAAAAAAAAACAGTTGGCTGAAGGAGAGTGGGCTATAATATGGGTCAATATCCCATAATGGGCTGGGCCCAACAGAACTTTCTTTATATGGGAAGGTTGATTCAGGCCTTATTTTCAGGCCCACGCCTAATTTGCAACCCGAAAATCAACTCATCGCCCATCTTCCAAAAGGGCTGAAAATGGATTCGATCAAATTTAAGTACTTATCCATCAAAAAAAAAAGAAAAGAAAAGAATTTGATATATTAAGATCAACATTGATTTACCAAATGTTTCAGATTTGAATAAAATCTTATCCATCCATTGGATTATTTATGATTGAATTCCAATCATATTGGATGATAATTGAATAATGTTAATAAATTAATTAAAAATGATCATAATATTATATATTAATAAAACAAACTAAAATTTACTGACATTATACATCATGGATAAAATGAATTGAAAGCAACTTTTACTGAAGTTTGAATCTATGACTCGTAAATAAGGCCCGTTTGGTTTGCGGGAATAGGGGTCTGGAATCGGAATTGGAATCAGTTATTCCGATTTCAATTGATTGGTTGGGCGGAATCAGAATTCCATTTTCATTCCTACAGGAATGACATTCCCCCATTTGAGGAAATGGCCATTCCCTGCCTCTCTTTCTTAGGAATAAGATCCCATTTCTACTGATTTTAATTCTCATTCTCATTCATATTTGAACTAAACAAACCATGGGAATGGATCATTCCGATTTCGATTCCGGAGGATTTCAATTCCAATTCCAATTCCGATTCTGACTACGAACCAAACGAACCCTAAATACAAAACATTCAAACCAATTTACCATAAATATAATAAAAAATTATGTAAGTATAAGTATATGTATTGTCCCAAACCCCACATATAATACAGTACCTACCCTTACACATAGTGATACATTCCCTCATATGTTATTTTTCCTAACTGTATGTAAAAATTTATGAGGTGGAATAATATAAAAAAATCCCTAAATATTTTGTGATATGATTATATTGGATTGAACAGAGGTTATTGATAAGTATTCGGCCCAATTACAAATTAATTGAATTTGGAATTTGGTCTGAGTCAAATTCCAATTCAAATAGACGAATTGAACTTGGAAATTGGAATTTGGCCAATGAACTTTTTTTAAACAACTTCCGATAAAGATAAATTTCAAAGGTCAAATACTGTGGTCCAATCCAAGCTTGCCATAAGGCCCTAGATGTAGGGAATTGTGGGAAACTTGCTCATGACCCATGTTTAACCAACTTACCCAGAACCATCATCTACTCCAATGGGCTGCCCTATCGGATTAACCTTGGCTCAACGGGGACCATAAAGGGTTGCCTTGTGCATGGATTCCACGGCATGGGTGAGGGTGCGGGTGTGCGTGTGCATGTGGGTCCACACCACACCTTATCATTTTTTTCTTTTGGATTGTTTAATTCTTAATCGCCAGTTTTAATTTAAATTTAATTTTAATGTTTGAACATTTTCTTCCTCTTCTATTTGTGTCTTTTCGAACTGGCACTTGCTTTGGAGAGACACATCTCTTCATCTTTGAGTGATTCGCAGAGGTTTGATAAGCAAGTGTACACCTATTAATCGCCTTTGGGCTATTTTATCTTGATGACCGATTTACATTCACCTATTTGTATCGTAGGGGCAAATGTGGTTTTAAGGAGAGTGACCAAATGGCATGAATCAATCTTCATATTCACTACAATTCTCAATTTCTCAATAACCACTACAACTCGGTTTTGGAAAGCGAGAGTGAAAAGTTTCATTTTGCCTTCTGTTTACTATTTTTATAATGCAAATGCATTGTAGTCATCTTTTTATCCTATGCATTGTATGTTGATGATATGTTTGATAATTGAAACAAGTTTGGATGTGGTGAAAGAAAATAAAAATAGTTCTTAATATCCAAATTTGACACCAAGGACATGGATGAAGCTGATGTAATTCTAGGGATTAAAATCCATAAATAACAAGGAAATTTTATTCTCTCAATCACACTATGTAGAGAGTATACTTAGGAAGTTTGGACACTATGACTGTAAACCTATGAAGACATCCTTTGGCTGTAGTATTCACTTAAAACCACATGTAGGGGAACCTGTTTCACAAAATGAGTATGCAAGTATAATTGATTCTGTCCTACTCAAATTTTTCTCTTGTTTTAGAAGGCTTTACTAATGCGAATTAGATTTTATATTCAAAAAATAATACTTCCACTAGTGGATATGTCTTTACCCTAGGAGATGGAGCATTATCGTCAAAAGTTGGATACAAGGGTGAACCAAAAGTTGCAAATCCTATCTTTGATTGTTGCTAATTTCATTGAACCGTTAAAACAACCATAACAAATAGTATCTATAAATATATTTAGCACAACAATAAATAGATTAAAGAGCAAAAGTTCAGTTTAATGAATGAGACTAAATCAATCATATAACCACTACAAAAAATGATTCCTCCAAACACATTTTATATTTTCATTGGGGCGGCTTAAATTTAGAGTGGGTGAATTAGGTTTATCAAACTTGACTTAATTATTCTATAGTCAACTAATTGATCAAAATAGGGTTGATTATGATAATAAAACTTAACCAATCAATTAATATCATAAAAGTCATAACCAAAAGTTGGTTATGTATCAAATTCATAGGGGTTGGGTGGGGATTTGATTGGTCAAAGCCCATCCAGTATCATGCATTTTTAGCAACATAGTTTTTCCTCGTTATTTTGTTATAAGTTGACTTAAATTTTTGTTTTGCCATGAACCCCTATTTGGGTTAAAAATGTTTCAATGGTTTGAATAGTCGAGTCAATAGTTTATTAACCATTTCGATCGAATTGTAACTGATTCTTTGAGTTGGCAGTTGAACCATCTAGGTCAATAATTCTCTAAAACATTGATAACCTATACTCAACTAAGCCTAAGTATACAAATGCTTCAATGCCAAAATATCAATGGAACAATGTTCAAAGAACTAAAATGGATTAGTCAGTCCACCTGCCAGTTCAATCAAGTTCTAATAATTGGGGCTTGGAAAAATCGGTCAACCTACTACCCAAATAGGGAATTGGTGATATCAGTCCCTATTTGACATGGACAGTTGAGCTAAATTTTAAAGCATAGACTAAACCTAGGTGGTTGGGCTGTTGAACCCATTACCCCATAAATTTAAGATAAATTAGTAATTAAGCACGTGTATTTGTATTTATGATTTTTTTTCATATTAATTATTTGAATTTTAGATATATCATACTTAATATAGAAATTAAACATTAATAAAAATAATAATATGATTAAAAATAAATTTAAATATTTGTACTAAATGTACACCTGTAGAAATTTTAAATTATAATAACAATTATTATTATTATTATTATTCTTGGAGTAAAATACAAAGACCCCATGTACTATAACCATGAGAGAAAGATACCTTTCTGTTAGTCTTTCGTTAAAATCCGTGCCCCCAAATTCATCGATATGATAGCGGCGGTGCCAGAATCGGAACGCGATTCTTTGCTCCCTCGCCTTCGAGCCAAGCCTGTCCGCACCACTTCTGGTATCACCATATGTTTTGAGCTGGCGAAACTTGGCAGTTCCATCAACAAATGCTGAAATTGAACCCAACAAATCTACTTCTCTTGAGGAATTATGGCCAGTTCTTGCATGAGGTACTTGGCAGTTCGATTTACCGATGATATTTTTATCCATCATCTCATAATGATGTTTTTATTTTTTGAATCCGATTTGTACAGGTGGAGAAAGATGTGGCTAAAGCGGAAGAGTACTATGGAAGAGCTATATTGGCGAGTCCCGGAGATGGAGAAGTGTTGTCTCTGTATGGAAAACTCATATGGGAGACACATAGAGACCAAGATAGAGCTCAATCTTATTTCGACCAGGCAGTCCAGGCATCTCCCGGCGACTGGTATATACTTTCAATTCCATTATTTTTTTTACGCGTAAATCCTGATAAACAAAAAGCAATAGAAAAGACGGGAAAGTTCGTTCATCATCGTTCTATATTTGGTTTGAACATTTTCCGTCAAATTCGATTTTTCCCCTGTTTTTCTTCATTTTCTTCTTATTCTTATGATGATGAACTGTCTTCCATTGGGGTTGATATAGTGTGTGTGGTGGGTGGGTCCAATCTTCAATCTTCAAAGTCTCTGATAGTCTCCGTTATGCATGACAAATCAATCAATCTTGAATCCTCACCGTTAGTGAAATGGTGTAAAAATCCCTGAGATCAGTTTACCCGTAGGATTCTTAGAATTGATAGTTAGTTACTGTAATTCATCTCAGATGTAGACGATACCAGAAGCGGTGCGGACGGGCTTGGCTCGGAGGCGAGGGTGCAGAGACTTGCGTTTCGATTCCGGCACCGTCGCTATCATCTCGACGAGTTCGGGGGCACGAGCGAGGCCATATTTGTGACAAGCTGCGGATTTGTGGGCGTTCAGATCAACATTCTCTCCTCTGCGCAAGCGCTCCACCATATCGTTCACGATCTCCACAATGCAGGAGGAAATCGGGAAGAAGAAAGGGGATGAGAGAAAGGGAAAGAAGAGAGATTGGGAGAGAGAGAGAGGGAGACAGATGGAGGACTTCGGAAGTCCACTGCCGTTGCAACAGGTTCATGTATCGGGATGTAACAATGTTTTTGTCCTAATAGTTATTACAAGGTTAATATTAAAAAATATTGCAACGGTGGATTTTAACAGAAGGCTAAGGGAAGGGGCTTTGTCTCACGGTCAAAGTACAAGGGGGTCTTTGTCACAAAACAAATTATAGGGTGTTTTTCTCACAGACCCCTTAGTACAGGGGGTCTTTATAATTTATTACTACTACTACTGTTGCTGCTGTTGCTGCTGTTGTTACTACTACTAAATTTTGTGTTTCATTTGTGTCTTAAATAAAAATAATTTTTATTTAATATGATGATTATATAATATTAGAAATGTTCCGAAATGTCTTTGAAAAAACTTTGTACTTTTTTATTTTTTGTGTTCTATCTTTTTTAAATATTTATTATTAAATTATGACATAATGAATTTCTTTGAAAAGTTTGATCATTGACCCAGCATTTAGATAACAAAATAGCTTTGCTTTCATATCAATTTTAAATTATATATTTCATCAACATTATATAAATTAGTTTTACTTATCACACTTAATTTTTGTTTGACATAATTAATATATAAATTTTATATACTCTTTTGAATACATTATATCTTACGTATAATATTTATTTTTATGATTATTTGTATTTTCTACTTTTTAAAAAATTTATTATCATTTCTAGGTTGATTTTAATTTTGGCATTCCATTTTCCTCATTTATAAAAATACTTCTCACATTCCATACTTATTTTTGTTTAGTATAATGAGTACACAATATTAGTGATGTGCTCAGTTCTTTTTATTTTTTGTATTATATATTTTAATTTTTTATTATTTAATTATGACATTATTTATTAACGCATTTGACCCCAAATGGTTGGATTGCTTACCCACCACCGAGAGGGAAGAAAATGGTTTTGTTTTCAAATTATTTTTCAAAATATTTATTTTTATATTATTAAAATTAATGTTGTGGATTTAATTAGTAGAATTTCATGATGGGAAAAATATATCTTAAATATAGAATTTAATAAGAGAATATACCTTACATATGAGATTTAATGAGAGATAATAGGAAAATAGTTTTACTTCCAAATTCCAATTGGTTTTAAATTTTACATTCCATTTCTATCATTAATAGAAACATTTATTTATTTACCATCAATGTTTTTAACTTGTTATTGACTTGGTTGATTGAACTATTTAAATCGTCACTCAGCCTTGATTCTGGGTTTGGTTCTGTTGAAATTGCTCCTTTCAGTTAAAAGTTGTCTAACCTTGGTGGTTCAACCATTGACCCTTTTGACCTAATAAGCAGGTCGTAGGTTGTGCACTTTAATTATGTGCAAACTTTTGGAAGCCATAACTTTGCACTTCAATGTCTGGTTAGGGTTTTGTTTTCTTATTTTGGGTAAATTTTCAAGATCCATACGTCCAAAGGGCCTTAGGTGTCTTGCCTTGATATTTTTGTGAAAAAAACCTCTTTTTTGGCCCCAAATTGCAATTTTTAATATTTTTTATAAATAAAAAAATAAAAAATTGAATTAAAAACATAAATAAATGTAACATAATACATATATTATATGTAAAACACAATTGTACTATTTATTGATAAAATATGTATTTTTACACACACACACACACATAGTGTTGACACAGAGCGGTTTGACTCGTTTGACCTTGGTAGTCGAACCGATGACTTATGACCCGAAGGCAAAAACGGGTCAGCCTCCGCGTCTATTTTTAAAACATTGTTTATCATACTTATTATTGTTTAATATGCCAAATATATGATGTTAAAAATGTTCTCAATTTTTTTTTATTTCTATATTTTTTATTTTATATATTTTTGAATTTTATTATTTAATTGTGACAGCATGGATTGACTCATTTTACCCAAATGGTTTACTTTCTTGCCACCACTTAGATGAAAACACTATTTTTTCCAGGTAGATTTTAAAAGTATAAGTTTTTATTTTATTAAAATTATTAATTTATTATGTATGGATTTAATTATAGAATTTAATGGTAAGAAGAAACAAAAGAACCTTAAATATATGATTCAATGAAGGTGAATGCAAATTAATACCTTAAATGTTGGATTTAATGTGAGAGAATTGAATGCATTGGATATTCTAAAATTACCTCTTTTCAACTCATTTAATATCAATAACTGATTACCCTATTTGCCCTCATTTTTTATCAATAAATTTAAATATAAAAGGGTAAATTTTGTCCTAAAAAAATTCTGAAAATATTCTTGAGGCTATTTGACTTTTTAAAGTAGTATAGATGTATGGGAGATATTCCCAATGCGAGGTTGGATGCTATGTGATCATAATTTTTCCTGTTAGGAGATTCCCACTTGACAGAATGGGTAGCCATTCATAATTTTAGGCATTTCAAGGGAAGTTTGGGTGTGCTTATTTCAAAAATAAGGCCCTGTTTGGTTCGTAGGAATAGGGGCCTAGAATCGGAATTGGAATGAACTCTTCCGGTTCCAACCATTTATTGGTTGGGAGGAATCAGAATCCCATTCTCATTCTTGATGGAATGGCATTCCCCCATTTGAGGGAATGGTCATTATATGCCCCTCCCTTGGGAATGAAATCCCATTCCTGTTAACTCCCATTTCTATTCTCATTCTTGTTTGAACCAAACAAACTATTGAAATAGACCATTCCATTCCGACTTCAAATGCTTTCGATTTTGATTATGAACCAAAAGGATCCTAAATGTTTATTCAATAAGTGCTTATATTCATGAACATTTGGTGAAAAAACACTTATTTCGAATAAGGGTAACATAGGTATTTTCAAAATGACATGACAGGCCAAGACAGCTGGCCACAAAGGAAATATACACTTAAAAATAAATCCAAAGTTTATAGGTCGACTTCTCGAAAAAGCATTTATTCTTAGCAATAAGTACTTATTCGTGTGGTTATTGTCCAAAATAAGTGATTATTCGAATAATCACTTACTTTTAAGAACTCCCAAACTTAGCGTAAAATAATTATTACTATATTTTAAATTATTGTTATCTATATTGATTGTCCGCTCAATTTCAATTGTCTATTCACCTTCATTGATTATGGCTGTCCATTTTAGTGCCGGTGGCCAGAGCAGGTAAGCTCTTCAATATTTACTTATTCTTTATTATATTCTTTTATTTGGTTTGGATGTATATGAATGGTGGACTATTCTTCTTATGAACCATATGACAATCCTGTTACCTAAAGAAAACAGAGGCACTGCCTTCTATGTCCTGTTTATATAACTCTTTTCAGAAGTTTAGTTTGTATTTATTATGGCTTGATATTAGATGAATGATTTAACCGTTCAATTCAACAAATTGAGCTATTATCAAACAAACCCTAATTGGGATTTTGGATTGAAATTATTCGCCTCTATGTATAATGTATATTTTTCTTAAAGGTCACGTTTGTTTGGGGTGGAAAATCGAACTGGGGTAAACTTTTTACACCCCGGTTCGATTTTCCACATGTTTGAAAATCGATGTAACTGATTTTTCAATTTTTTTACACCAATAATCGATGTAAAATATACATCAAAATTATCATTATCAGGATAGTTTTCAACGTCTCTTTCTTCCTCTCTCTCTCTCTCTTCTTCTTCTTCTTCCCTTTTTTTGTCAGGCAATTTCTCTCTCTCTCTTCTTCTTCTTCCCCCTTTTTTTTTCTCTGTTCCGTCAGTTGCAACGACAGATCTGAGCCCACCTCCCATCTGTATCTCTTTCGTTCTCTCTCGTTCTCTCTTCTCCTCCTTTTTCTTCTTCCTCTGCTTCCCTCCTCCTTTCTGTAAATTTTCATAGAATTTACACCTTGACAACCAACATGATCGGTGTAAATTTTCAAAATCTACCGATCCCAATTTCCATCGACAACTAAACCAGTTCACATTTCCCGTCGGTGTAAAACTGAATTTACACCTAAAACAAATACAGCCAAAAGGGAGGCCTACACCTATTGCTTTATTGAATTAGTTATTTAACAAAATTATTTGATTTGGTATATGTTCCAAGAGGAATTCTACAAAAAAATGGATAATACCATTGTAATATACTTACAACAAGACTCACCTCCATATGAGAACTGATAAAATACAACACCAGCACATCAGTGGATTAGTAATTGTTAGTCGGTTACAAATTTTATTAGTAGATTAATAATTATTAGTCGGTTACCAATTTTATTAGTAGATTAGTAATTGTTAATCAGTTACCGAATTTTGTATTAGTTGTCGGTTACCGAATTTGTGTTAGTGAATTAGTAATTGTTAAATCAGTTGCCAAATTAAATATTAGTGGAATTAAAATGTTTTAATTAGTTGATCCTCATGTATGCCTATACAAGGCAAACAAGTTCATCAGTTGTTGTGTCCAGTTTTCAAATCAAAAAATAGCTTGGTTGCTATTTAATTTGTGCCTTCTTCTCTGTTCGTGAGATTCTTTGTGGTGAGTTTCCGCTCACCTCGGAAACCTCTTCGAGGGAGGCTTGACCTCCTGAAATAGAAGATGGAGAGAAAAGAGAGAAGGGAGGGAAGGAAGAAACTGGAATCAGGGAGAGAAAAATTAAGGGAGAATCATCATTGCTTTCATTATGTGATGATGGCCTTATATAGCTGGCCTACAGGTGTAATATCATAGGGAATATTCTCTGATTTCTGAATAACTAACTCTGGCAGATAACATGGGTGGAAAATCTTCAGGTGGCAGAGTAATCAACTCTGAGTGTAACTAATTTTGGGGCTCTGCCGCCTGGCTCCT